GTTCGTTCGGTAAGATCGCCAACATGATCAAGGACGAGCTGTCGCTGAATGGCATGATGTCCACAACATCGGACAGATTCTGGCGAGCCATTTCGGTCGCCGGAAGCGGTCACCCCTACTCTATGAAGTCTGGAACCTCTTTGGTCCACGCTGTCATGGAAAAGCACTTGTTCAGGGAAAAGATGCTCGCTTCTTGCTTTATGGCACCGGATCCCTTGACCGAAGCGAATAGCCTCCATGATCCCAACTTGGAACACGTGTTGCAGGACAAAGAGAGGTTGTATCAGTACTTGTTCGGAGATTCCGTAAGAGGAAGCCATGCATATCAGTCCACTGCGGAGCCTTCAGGTGAGAATGAGTCTGAGAGGAGGAAGAGGGAGAAGGTAAGGAGAGAGAACAAGATGCCATGGATGGATGAGTACTGGGGAGTCCTTCAGCCAGAACCAATATACTCAAGGACTCAAAGGTGGTACGTCATTGATGACTTTAAGGAGGGTGAGGAAATTTGCTGCGATTACTGTCTGTTCTGCAATCCCATAGACTCCGATTTGAAAGACGATTGCTATGCGGAATGCATCAACGGAGCAGCAAACAGATGCCGTGGGATGTCCGCAGAAGACTACGTCCAGAAGCGATTTCATGCATGTGCTCGATTGCTTCACAACTTTGGCATGGGGCAAACGGTATCTTCTCCCACCATCGTAATCTCCGAGATGAACCCGCACGATGACTTGATGAAGTTTTTACACGAGGCGATGATCATCTTCAATGAGAATCCAGGTTTCCAGAAGGAGATTTCGTTCTTCGGGGGGATCAGGTTGTCATCAACAATGACGGAGAACTTCTTCAAAACGAGGAGAGGACCCAGCATCCATGTGGAAAAGCAGATAGTCGGCAGCGCCAAGTACTACCAGGGATCCTATGACCTTGGCAACGTATGCTACACCAAATACCTCAAGACCATACTGGAACCCGATGTATTCCGCACTATATTCGGAGATGATCCCACGGAGGAACGGGTAGGTGACATGGTGGAAGCGCTGCTGGGCATGTTCGAAATTGCTCAACTCTTCAGGCACATGTTCAGGAGATGGGGTGACATCGAAGCTTTGAGGACGGGATTAGAGGAATCCATCAAACGCGTCACTGCATCGCTGTACGACAGGACAACGTATGAGAACCGAAAGCGATCGATGATTAGAACCATGGACCCGCACTCTGATGAGGCGGCAAACGTGGCACTGATTCTCGTTCGCATGAGGACTATGCCGCTTCCTGAATTCGACATCGACCACTTCTTCGAAATTGGGAAAGAACCAGAACAGGGAACAGAAGCCACAGGCGAGCCCGAGGCCGAAGGTGTCGATATGGAGACTGAAGGTGTACAGGAGAAGGAGGAGCAAGATGTTGACATGTCCGACCCGAAGACATCAATACTGCAAGCCATCGACGAATTTGAGAGGAAGATCGGGCAGGCAGAATTCTGCATCCACTGCATGGAGTCGGGACACACAACTCTCAATTGCGAGAAGACCCTTTCATCTTCACCTTCAGTCACCTCGGTGTTGAGTGATTGGAAGAAGAGAGTGAAGGGAGAGGTTGCACCCGACGATGTACCATCTGGACATCCAACCGAGGAGCCTAAGAAGAAGAAGCAGAGAGCATCGCCCACTCCAGATAGGAAGGTCGACAGCGAGTTCAGGCGAAAAGAAATGTTAAAAGCAAGAGTCGTGACAATGTTCGACCATGACGGATTCACCTTGATCGAAAGTGCTGATGGAGTCGAAGGAGGACCACATTCCTACAATGGGCGGAAGCTTGCGGAAGCAGGCCCTAAGGATATGAAAGAGGTGTACGAATTTGTCGAGAAGGCATTTGTGCACTCCAGTTCCCTCTCACCAAAGGCATGTCATCACTTCTATCCCCTACCAACACGGAGGGAGAAGGGATACAAGCCGATCGACCCCATGACGATGGTCGGGAAAGTTGAACTAGTACCGATCAACGGAGTCACTTTCGCTGCAAAGAACTCCGACTATGGCAACCACAAGTATCCGACTCCAGAATGTCGAGTACGTGAATACAGCCAAACGAGCCAGGCCCTGAGTCGTCGATTGGGAGCGAAGTTGAGGCATCGAATTGGACGCCAGTTCAGGACAGGAGGGAGACTCGCACCAATCAAATGCGATGAAGGCGCATGGGTGTCATGGGAAGACCTGTTAGGTGATAATGCAGTTTGGGAAGACGGTTATCACTATGGCAACATAGATATCGTGACCAAGAAGGCGCGTTTGGAGAAGTACTTCGACCAAAACTATGAGTGTTTCCGCATGACCAAGAGGGTCAGATTCCAAATGTTGGCGGTCCGCGTTCACCCTGATGAACTCAATGAGCCTGATGACCCGATGGAGAAGGAATGGATTAACGAACTCAAGGACATGGGAATCTCTAAAGGAAGACTCCACCATAGCGATGGATGGTGCTTTCCCGTGGCTGTAAGAGCAACCTCGGCACACTCAACGGACGGCGGAGGTTATGACGTTACCATTGACATCGACCACATTGGGTCGAGAATGACCAACGACATGGCCCTATCTATGGTGACTGCATTTCACGCTACCAATCTCGGAGCGCTGACTTCAATCATGCGACGAGGGCTAGTGCCGGGAGGTCTCGGTTCATCGGGAAGGGATTCTATCCACTTCACATGTTTTCCGCCATGGGCCTGGGAGCAGGGCTACAAGGGTAAACCTTGGCTGGGTCGTAAGGTCGCAGTGAGCGATCGCCCAGTGGTTCTCTACATTCCGGTGTGGAAGCTGCAGGAGTACGGACTTCTCATCTCAGCGACTGGCTCTCTATTGGTTGAAAACGTCGTTCCCTTCGATGAGGTTAAAGGGGCATGGTTGCAATGCGACAATGCGGAACCCGGACAGCCTGAGAAGATCGAATGGATCCGGTTACTCAGTGGGGAACCCGACCCTGGAAGCTACCTTGTTCTAGAGTCCAAATACGGAAACCCGATCATGATTCCACGCTTTCAAAAGCTTGAGAGCTTAGCGGTTGAGGTTCAGGACGATACCTACTCCGAGGACGACGCCAAAATCTCAAAGCTGTTGGGTATGATCGAGGAGAGTGGTGTTTACCCAGAGTATGATAACACCGAGTGGCAGGAACTCTTCGAGGAGATCGTGTACCGCCGAGCGATGAAAGACTATGACTCAAGGCCGTGTCCTAACTGTCTTGGCGAAGTCGATGTGCGATTGACGATATGTCCGCACTGCGTAGCGGTTTTGATCGCGAATGGGAAGCTCACACATGTGGTACCCAAGGAGACAAGGGACCGCAATCAACGATCACCTCCGAAAGATGTCCCAGCCAGTTCTTCCAGTGAAGCCACCTCTGCTGCAGGTGCAAACATCGATGAAGTCATCAAGAACGCACGCAAGACAGCCGAAGAGGTCATTGAGATCGAGGAATCCGAAGGAGAGGAAGAGGAGGAAGTTCCTATCATTTTGAAGGAACGACCGGACGAAGCTGAAGGCGAACCCGAGTATCGGGAGGTCCCTCAAGATGGATACGGGAATGAACTTCCGAAGCCTTTCCCCTTCGCAATTGACGAACTGCCGCAAGAAGCTGCGATCCCCATCGACCACAACTTTGCCGTCACACAGCAATTTGATTTGAGGTTGATGAAGTTGATCAAGGGATTGGCCAACGCAACGTTCGACATCAACTGCTTTGAGAGTCGTGAAGATGTACTGCGAATGTTCGACGATGGACAGCGGCATGACACTCCGCACAATAGATGGCCAATAGTACCGAAAGATCCGGATACTGGGTTTCCAAGACGTCTCAAGAGAGCCGAGGTCGTAGGCATGAGCAGATGGACCGACGACGTGTTTGCAGCAGAAGCGTGGCAGATCTATGAATTCCACGCCAACGTTGTTCACCCGATGATGATCACTGCAATCCGCTGCGGGCTTAGCCACAAGTACCTCAAAGAGGTCGGCAGCACTCAGCGTAGCATGAGTGATCCAAAGGCTCGAAAGTCTGAGACCCAGGATGAGATCATCGAGAAATTGGCATTCATCTCAAATTTCATCAGACGCATGATCAAGAAGACCTTCGGAGCGAGCCGATATAGTTACTACCAGAAACCAGATGACGAAAGTGCCGCTCCATACAAATTCATCGACATTAGTCCCGCCATCAAATCGGAGAGGAAGAATGTCACGAAGGAGATCCTCGTTGCATGCCGCTACTATGGCATAGAGGTATCCGCTATCCAAGCACAGAAATTGAAGTCCTTCGAGGAGCAGATCCGAGCGGGAAATCCAAGGAACGTTGAGCTCATCAAGGACTACATTGGCTTGGTCGGCGCTGACTACATGCGACAACTCACGAATGGATGAGCATTGGGGTCATGCCGACATGCCACTTACGGTACTTCAAGTACTGAGGGATCTTGGGTAATTCATGATGACCGTTTTGGCATCATGGGAGTGAGATAGGATTGTGTCTCACACCGTTGGTAATCGCATGATACCATAGGTAGGTGCACGTTTTCCGCTTGTAGCTCCATTGCCTGTTTGATCCAACTTTCAAGCGAATGCAAGATCTTTTGCTAATTCAATTCAATAGGACATACTGGTTGACCTCCAATACACTTTTGAGAACGTGATTCGTTCTCCGGTTTTTACATCCACTCATCTCCCTTCCCCGTCGAAGTACGGATGTGGGGGTGTCAATAGGGATGGGGTCCCAGTATAGTCGCTATACAGGTACATGCCATATACTTTTGGCTCAAGTGCCCAACCAGGTAAAAAGGAGCTTTAGCGCGCGAGCTTCATGTTGACCTAAGAGCTAGAACGGGGCCAGGGCACACCTTTCCATCCGTTCGCAAAATCTATGTCGCTACATGCAACCGTAGTCGTCAGAGTGTGTTTTCCCGTTCTCAGGTTTTGTTCATTCATGGGGATAGCAGATGCCACTGATGGGCCATGTTCAAGTTGTTCATCAGAAACGGAGTGCCGTAGCTGCTGTCGCTTGTACAGTACTGTTCCACCAGTGTTCCAGTCGCTGTTCCAGGCGGCTGCCTGGAGACGTGACCTTGCCCCACGACACCCGCTTCATTGATTGGGTGGCTGTGGTCTATAGCCCGATGGCCCAGGCCGTTCGAGGTCTGCTCTGATGTTTGTGTTCAAACGAAATACACTACTGTAGAGTTTGTTTCCTGCTACAGAGCTAAGTGGAGTCTATGATTCCGCCTCCAGTTGCAATTTGTAGCCAAGGTGTATTGGGTCAGAGCATTACATCAGTGTTGATACCTGATGCTTTTGAGCGTTGGGTCAGCGATGAATTCCATAGTTTCAAAGGCAGCTGAGAACCGCTTTCGATTGAGCAACCAGTTTCGGCATTGTACAACTCCATTTTCGTTGAAACTCACTCCAACCCACTAGCGATGATGGCCTCCAACCTACCAGCGATGGTGGCCTTCAACCTGCCAGCGATGGCTTCCAACCTAACTGTTTGTGGCCACCACGGAGGTGTTTGTTCCTATAGGTCGTCTATGTGACACCCCGAGGTTATATCCCGTTTGTGATTCCCTTGCTGGTCTTCTGCGAACTCCTCATTACTCGAGGCCGGGCCGGTGGAATGTTTTAACGCGTGTTTTTTCGTCGAAATGGCAAACTAGTAGCGACCTTGCTCCTAGTAGCGATGCCAGGAGCCCCCAGTAGCTTCTTGTTCCTAGTAGTATGGCCAGGAGCCCCTAGTAGCGACCTTGCT